GGCTTTGGGTGGGTCCTTTAAAGCGGGCGAGCCAGGTAGGCCTGGACGGGCAGAGCGGGGGGGGGGGGGGGTGCAGCGGTTGGGATTGTATACATACGGAGAGAGGTTGATGTGGATAGCGGGTACGACAAGGGGGTGTTGCGACTGATATCGCGGTCGCGTACGGGACAAAGCCTACGAGACGCGGCACGCGTGGCGTAAGAGATGCCGCAGATTGCAGCAATAGGATGATACAGCGTAGTGCAAGTTAATAATCGTCTGGAGATCTACAAGGGCTGCTAAGGCAAGTTGCTGCCAACCAAGGCCACGAAAAAATAACCTGGCGCACAAATACCAACAAAAAAAACATACTTCTATCTACGTCAGAAGCATCCCGGGCGGTACATAACATATTGGATTGGGTGCTAAAACAATTTCGTATCACTAGGTGTGTTCAGTTCTGCTGGGGGGGGGGGGTTGCATCTTTCGTTGCCGTCTTACAGTACTTTATCTGACAATAGTTTGGTCTTGGGGCTCATGTTGACCAACATAATATTACCGCCGGGTCTCTCCCATGGGCGTGCCATACGCAACAGAACATCTGGCTGTGGTCTGGGCAAGATTGACTCGCGGTTGGTTGCTGCCAAGCGGACCCTGAGATTCATTTTTTTTTTTGAAAATATCGCCGACACTGCATACAAATACAAGCACATCACGAACCTAACTTGCGCGACAATCAGGGCCCCGCAACGCACTAAACACAAACACACACACACACATAAAAACGGCGTAGCGCACCTGATTGTGGACCAGGGAGGAGAGGAGGAGAGAGAAGGACCCCGCCGACAGCGGGAAGAGCGAGCGGGACGCGTTGAGGAGCAGCCCGGCGGCCCCGCTGCTGGGACCGTCGTTTTCGCGAGCGGACACTAGGGCCCCCCAAGACAGAGCAGTCTGACCTCTGCTCCGGAAAAAAGTGAGAGGGAGAAGAGAGAGAGGGAGAACAAAGAGAGGGATAGAGAGAGAGAGATAATGAGAGAGAGAGGGAGGGAGAGAATAAGAGAGAGAGAGAGAGAGAGAGAGAGAGAGAGAGAGAGAGAGAGAAAGAGAGAGTTTGAGAAGTGTGCATCCAGTTTGTTGGGGTAGTTGACATGGGGCCACGGAAAGAGCCCGCGTCAGTTGGGCCGGAAATACGGATGATGAGTTCGAGACCGGAACAACCAACCCGTACGAAACGGTCAATCTACCGTGGGGTTCACCCCACTTCTTTCCGGGGACACGCACACACGAGGAAGAAAGAGAGGCACGGAACACCAAACAAAACCATTATCCACAGATTAATTCAGGATTAAACATAGTTTTAGGTTAGCAACGCATTCATAGTTTTACGTATCAGACACATGTCGTACTTGAAGTACTTGCTTTTACCCTTTCTTATTGTTCTCTGCCAGCTCCCCGTCGAGCACTTCCACAACTCGCCTGAAAATACTCGCCGCCACCCTCGCAAGCTTAGCCACCTCGCCCAAGTGCTCCGGCCTGAACCCCACCCCCTCCCCAACGCCAACCAAACCGCGTTGTCCCCCCCCCTGCGGGCTTTCACCAAGGTGTACAGGCGGTGGCGGTGCGCAATGCACGGCGCGCACGAAGCAAGACACCACCAGGAGGAACATGTCGGCGGACACAGCGGCATCGGCGGCCGGCCGGGGGGGCAGAACGACCTCGTGGGGGGCGGGTGGGGTGCCGCGGCGCGGGGAAGGCCCGAGCCTTCGGGAAGGCGGCTGGCACAGGGCCGAGAAGTGGGCGGCCTGCGGCAGAGAAAATGGGGGGGGGGGGGGGGGGGGGGCCCTTACCCTTTTTTCCCAATGCCTCCCCCCACCCCTTTCTGAACCCCCCCCCCGGATCCAACCCTTTTTCCCCTTACCTTCTCCAACCTACCCAACCCAACCCAACAAAACCCCAACCCCAAACTCACCGGGCGAACCCCCCTTTCCCCCCCCCCCTTCCCCTTTACTTACCCGTCCTGGTTCCCCGCAAACCCTTTTCCCCCCCTCTTC